TTGGTAGTCTATGTTAAACAGGTCTCTGATTAGTCAGAGAAAATCACCTGGCAATGGCTTGTTTTGGCCTGATTTGTACTAGTTTTCCATTGAATAATATGTATTTGCCAGTCAGAAATCATGAATGTAATTTAGATTAAATGTTGGAGTAAGATTATGTAAAGACCTATTAATTAGTAATAAATAGTGTATACCGGTAAATGTCAAATATTTATAGCATCCTCACTGCTTCGACCAACAATTCTGTGGTTTGCAACTATCGATAAAATTTATGGAACCAGTGATTTTTTTATTACACTTATGTGTATGTATGTATTTGTATACATTTTATTTTGCACTTCTTATAACTTGCACTAAAAATAATGCAAAAGATATGGTTTAAAAAACAATTATGGTTGATTAAAATTTTACACAATTGAGTCTTTTGAACATGTTTCTTGTATATTTAAAGTTTTTTTTCAAGAATGAATTGTTAATTTGTACATGCATCAATATTTCATTCTTTTTTTCTTTTTTTTGAACCCCACTTTGTGTGGGTGCTATTTCATCTATAACTTCATTGGGTAGGTTGGTGTGTTTGTGTGGGTGCTTGAGTGAATATTTGGGTCTATGTAGGTGCTGGAGTGAATGTTTTGGGCCAATTTGGGGCTGTGTAGGTGCTTGAGTGAATGTTTAGTGCTATGTGGGTGCTTGATTGAATGTTTGGGGCTGTGTGGTTGCTTGAGTGATTGTGGCTATTTTGGTGCTTGAGTAAATGTTTGGGGCTGTGTGGGTGCTTGATTGAATGTTTGGGGCTGTGTGGGTGCTTGATTGAATGTTTGGGGCTATTTGGGTGCTTGAGTGAATTTTCGGGGCCGTGTAGCTGCTTGAGTGAATTTTGGGGGCTACATGTATGTGGGTGCTGTGACAAGATTATGTGTACTTCATTAAATAATGAATTTTAAAGTACATATATGTATTTGCAAAAATCATAGATTTTTCTCAATTTTTTTCTTTTATTATTGGCACGTAATCTATACCACATGAAGTAAAGTGAAATCACTGTAGTCACTTATATATAGGTTACCATGGTGATAAGACAGCTATATTGGCATTTATTTAACACCCACAGTGATCAATCCATGGGAGACACAATATTGATAGGCTCACAAATAATGTATATCTTATGATATGATATTGAAATGTTATTGATTAATGCACCCAAATATGTATATACAATAATGGAAAATATTCACACCATTGTGTCTTGCCTTTGTACAAAATTTAAACAATTACGGTGAAATTGTATCTAGGACATTTGAGGACAAACAAAATTGGCCATTCATAAAATCTTGAACATAAGTGATGTGCTTCAGTAACCAAGTGAAGACAAATTTACTTGAACAAAATCTGTCAAAGCTTGTCTGAGAAATGGTAAAGAAAACATGAAAAATAAAACCACTATGGCCACCAGTCGGCTATTTCAAAGCAAATCACAAAACAATCTGATGTACATCAGTAACTGTTATATTCATACAAAGTTTGAATAAATTTGGCTCAGGCATGCCTGAGGTCATCAACATGGTAACAAATCAATAGACTATCTATACCATTATGTCTTGTCTTTTGAATAATTTTAAAAATAGTAATGGCAGTTGAATCCAGCCAGCCAATCAACGTCTTTAAAAATGTTGCAATATTCCATCGGCCATTTGGGTTTTTGGATATTTAAATCCAAAAATAACTGAAGAAAATGACAAACCATTATGTCCGTCTTTGTATCAAATATAAACAACATTCTGTAAATTAGCAGAGAAACGGGTAGACCAACTAAAATAAACAAAATGGCTGACAGTCAGCCTTTTTGAATTAACCAACCATGAGTGACGTCACTGCCAGGTTTCAATGATATCAGCATATGATATGTTAAAATATTATTTTTTTTAGTTTTTCACTAGTCAGTCAAAGTTCACGTCTTTGTACACAACAAATGAAAATCGCAAGCATACCCAATAATTTAATACAATATACAAAACAATACATGTAAGTAAGTAATGCCTTTATTGAAATCATATCCTATTCAGGATCTGGATTTTTAAAATACAATAAAGTTTCAAATACATACAGAATGGCAAGACGAAAAATACAAATGAAGACATAGTGAAAACATAATAAAATCAAATAAAAACGGAGAACAAGAAATGGTTAGAAAAAACAAAACATGTATGTTGTAGAAAAAAAAGCTGTGGACCTCTAGTCGTACTAACGGAAGTAATGTTGTACTACTTGTGACACAAGAGTGGTTTATAGTAACCCATAACACTCGTAACACCATGTTCTACTACTACGATACAACTTACAGGTACGGTATCCCGTCGTCGTTTACAGCGTCCTCTTGTGGCGACTACTAACTACTAACTATTGTATTTTTCGGGCTGCCTCCCGGGGCGTGGAGCTTGACATGGTCTACTTTTAAAGAGATGCGCCTGTAAAATAAAAATGTTGTTTTGACAGCATGCTGCAAAGATCGTTCGATGAAAAATGCGTGTTAGATTTAACTTAAAGTACAAGTATTTAACAAATCGTGATACTGATATGTTTGCAGCCCGAGCATTTGACGATAAATACACGTAATAGCATAATGTTGTAGCCAAGATTTTGGCAATGAGTACTCATTCAGTTTTTTTCCACTGTGGGCGGACACGTTAACCATTGTGCCACTCATCAGTTTCACGCACAGTCTCCTGGGTACTAATATTAGAGTCAAAGGATCAAATATTGTGATTAATTTTATTATATTATTGCAGATTTAAACAAGGAAACTAACAGTAAATAGTACAAGTATGGGCGTACATCCATATGGAAACCCAATTTGCTGATATCAACCAATCAGGATTTATTAACAAAAACTCAGTCAAAAATATTGGACAAACAAATTAAAACATCTTTTGAATTATTTTTGAAAAATAATATCCATGATGACAATAATAACGTCAACAACAACAAATAAACCAAGACCATACAGAAGTTTCAAGAAGATATTCAGATTGGAAAAAATACCTGGTTGGTATCGAGAAAATCAAAATGAGAGAACAATTGAGTAAATTCAGACTCGACAACCCTCCATGGAAGGTACTTCCATGGGCAGACATACAAAAACTAAAACTCCAACTGACAAAAGAATTTGCTACTTGTGTACTGCTATGGAAATTGAAGACGATACACACTTTGTAATGTCATTTAAAAAATACAAACAGCAACGATATTTACTTTTTGACGACACAGAAAAGGTAATTAAAAATTTCACTGTTTTGAAGAAAACAAACAAATTCTCCGCAATCATGAGTTCAGATATTAGTATAACATTTCTTAATTAACAGCAACTTCCAGACCGAACACAATAAACCTAGTCTATATACAATTACAAATTTAAATTAATTTAAATAACCCTCTTTGTTATGTCAAAATTTCCATTATGTCATTTTCTCTTGAAATACCTTTAACCGTAATATCTTACTTTGTAGCTTTATACATGTAGTTCCTAGTCGTGTTACATTTTGTATTTTTTGTTTTAGTTTTTTTAAGATCACATTGATGTACCCTTCTGTGTCAGTCGGGGAGTAACTTTATTACTAGTACTTAAAAGTACAGATACAGAGGGATTGTGACTGGAGCTTCCGACTAGTATAAGAAGAGACTGGCAATGAGTCTGTGGCGTGTGTTCCACAGCAGGCCTTGTTGTTAGTTTATTGACACAAGCCTAACCTTTTTTAACCAAAAACCTAAGATCTATGTTTGAAAGTACTTGCACTTATCTGCTTCGTGTATGTTCGTAATGTCATTCTAGTGTCAAAAACCGAGTACTTGCAAATCCAACCTTTCGAGCGCCGTTTTGACAGTACGAAATTTTACAGTTTTATTTTAGCCGCGTCTGTTTTAGTGGTCTGTCCTAGAACATTTTCACCTCTTTTCGCATGCTATCCCACTTACAAGGTGGTCTGTTCTAGAACATTTTCACCTCTTTTCGCATGCTATCCCACTTACAAGTTTCGACTAAAAAATGAAGATGATTTGTTAAAAAAATCAACCACCTGTTTCTTTTGATACGTCTTGATGATGAACATTCTAAATGTATTCTAAGGTCTATGATCCTACTGAAAACCCCATAAAGGAGTCCCCACTATAGTCATGGAGCTAGAAAGGATATTTGTTCCCCCACAGTCCCTCTATCCCCGATAATCTCGCAAGACGCTACCATTGTTTATTTTGGGAATTAGGAAAAAAAATGATTACGTAAAGATAACAAGACTAGAATTTGAATAATCCAGAGTGACAGCTGAGTTGATCCTTATTATTACCACGGTTACTAACGTGCTGCTACGGCAGATTATGCCCATTTCCCCGAATATAACACGTTTTACAAAACAAATTCGACATGGTTACATTGCCCAGCACCCATGAATAACGACAATCGGGGAAATCACGGAAGAAACCACGTGATATTCACTAGATGTATAAGCATCATTATATAAGTCATTTTATGGGGAAGTTCGGAAGGCCATCACCGTATCAACGCGCACGCCTAATAATTTTATTGATCAGCATACTAGGACTTTTATTTCTGACTCATTATACTTCTACTTCTTTCTAATAAGGTGTTTTGGCCTAGAGTGCCGTTATATTTAGATCTTTAATTTATGATTACTTAGTCGAAATTGACAAACTAAGTAATATATTTATTAAAATTCTATATTTGGAACTACAAACCCCATTGGTAGAATAGATAAAAAAAAAAGTGGTTTGTATCATTGACTAGAATCGATATTAGACTGGGTACTTTTCGTAATTATATCTATTTGTGACGGCAAACATAAATTTTACTATAAAGTGTTTTACAGACGGGACAATTCAACTCCGAAAGCAAAACCAAACCATTACAGCATTCGGTGGCCAGTTTGTATCGTTCATAATCCTATGGAAGCGTGCGCGTACCAACCGAATGCACTAGAGGTTTAGGGATATATAGTAGATAATATTTGGTAACCGTAGTCCTAAGTAACTATTAAATAGCTAGACGTTTCGAGCAATGGCTCTTTATTGATAGCATAGAAGTAAATGGTTTAGGGAGTGGGATGTTGGTAACAAATAAAAACAAAATATTTATCGCTTGCTCCTATAACCAATGCTCGTTATCAACAGTTTATTTGGTGTTTACATTATAGATTTACAACTCTCGACTTTATTCAAATTTTAATCCTTGATTACGCCCCGTGAATGACCTATATAGTATGTTCCACTCGCATATCCCCTGTTTACTCTGATAAGGGGAACCGTGATTCGTCCGCGAGGCCAGATTGCGGCATCACGTTACCATACGTGATGACGCGTGATGTCTTGTTCTATTTTTGGCGGAAACCGAAGTATTATATAGATGCAGTTACCAAGTCAAGTGCCCCACTCTTGAGAAAATAGCGAAGATGTCAGTGGCAATAGTAGGTGCCGGAAAATTCGGTCAGGCGATAGCACGGGGTTTCGTACGAGCAGGTAAGTACACAGTTACATTTTGTGTTACTGTGGTTTAATCGTCGACGTCATCCCTTTTATTTATGTATTTAGTAACTGTATTTAATATGTTTATTTCATTTACATTGCAAACTTACTTAAAATTTTCGAGAAACATAGCTATATAAACACGAATGTGTACAAAATATACACTTACGCAAACACCATATTTTTATTCACATTTGATGACTATATATGGATCTACCGATATGTCAAATCGTAGCTCCATAACGCTATTTATAAATAAATCGTACGACTATTTTTTTTTCTTTGGTAATCGATGATCTTCGATCAAAAGACTGGGCATTGTGGATAAATGAATGACAATATCACGAGACATTGTTAGCGTAACTCGTCACGAGAGGGTGTCCCATCACCACATGTGACGCTAGCCCAAAGTATCGCTTGTTGCTAAGCCTAGTCAGCTTGTCAGCAAGGAAAGCTTTGGCGACAACTCTTTGCTAATAATGACGTGGCCAAAAGTCTGTCGAGCAAAATGATATAAATGTCGTCGGACCTGAGAGAGAATGGCCATGTTTTTCTTTTACAGCAGTTAGCTTGAGAAACCATTTGTAAATGTGTCATTACTGGTAAAAGATTGTTCAAATATGCGATGTCATCATTTAAATCTTGAAAGCGATGCGATGCCGTAGTCCAACCCTTTCAACTCTCATAACAGATTACTTGTTATAAGTTATATAACTTTTATAACAGATTGAAAACAAAATTTACCATAAATATAGGAGATAAATTCATAGGTATTTACAGATGAAAATGTTCCTAAATTTGATCGTCTACCATGAAAGACAGGGCAGAATTTCAATTTTTTCAAACCTGGTTGGATATATTTTAAGGTGGGCTAAAGCTTGTTTCTTTTCACTACAAGCTCCACGCCTACAACATGAAAAACACAACTGTCCTAAATAATGAGTATTCTTGGGTCAGACTACTGGTTTGAGTTTTAGGTAATCACCGCAGATGCTCCTAGATTAGCGTCTAGTGAGCTTCTCTCGTGATTTCCCCCTTGTTCTGTGATTTCTCCAATTTTCGTTACTTCTGGGCGCTAAAGCAAGGTAAACTTTACTCAATCATATTTATGAATAATGTGACTGTGATTGTCAAATTACTAAATAACGAACACTAAAGTTAAACTCAGCTGTCAATCTGTATTATTCAAATTGTAATCTTTCTTACGTAATTATCATTGTTTATAATCCGTAAAATAAACGATGGTGGCATCTTTGTTTGTCATTTTTGACTTACGGAAGCCTCTCCTACAACAACAGCGCTAGACAATAGTGGCCCACGTTGCCTCTAAGACCAAACATAAACTAACACATTATTATTATTTTAATATATGCAATTCACAAATTATTCTGTAATGTCGACGTTTGATACTTTATAATGGTACCATTAAGTTTGACAAATCAGTGGAAGAAAAGCGGCCGATTGATTTGTCACCTTTAGGTTACGCAAATATGAACAGCCTATGTTTGATGGACAAAGGGTAAAACATTAGAGGCAATCACGCATCAAAGGCATGACAGAACATTAACGGAAAAGTACAGGAAGTATTGTATTTTGTATATATGCTTTTTGTTGCATTGTTTGTGCATTTATGAGTTGGGCGGGGGATATTATTACAAGACAAAAACTAAAATTTTGCAAAGCTTGATGGGTAAAATCCAGGCTAAGCTATGCCCTGGTTTGTTCGATAAGCTACATTAAGACTAAACATAAACAAACTCAAGGTCTAACATCTCTCCACCCAAAACAGACTTTTAACGTTTTTTAATTCAATACACATACACAAGCCGCAAATTATTTTGTATTGTATCATTTTAATACTTTATACTGGTGCCCTGAAATTTTACGTGTAAATGGAAGAAAAGGCCGACCTTTAGTGCTTTGTCACCTTAGGTCGAATAAACAAAGGGTGAAACATCTCAAAAGCGCAACAAAACTATAAATATAGTAATAAAATGACAGAAAGCTAGAGGAAGTATTGTACTTCATATATATTCATTTTGTTGTGTTATTTGGGGTTCAGGAGTTGAATGATAGACGATAATGTTTTTGAAAAAACTTGTACCGAAAATGACTGAATATTTTTTTTTGTAAACATTTATAGGCCTCGTGGCAGCCGATCGTATCATAGCTAGTACTCCTTGCAGTGAAGATCTTGCAAAGGCGGCGGTAAGTTAAATAATTCGATTACTAAATAATGCAAGTAAATTCGCCAATGTTTCATTCAAATGAGAAGTTGTGATTAAATACGGTCAAATTAATGACCATGTTTATTTTGTGTTAAAAAGGTTACATTATTATTGATTTATACACCAGTCACTGACTTTTAGGGTTATTTTAAGCAGTACAAAATATGTCTAAAAGAAAACCAGACTGAAAACGTTGTCTTTTTTGCAACTATTTCCAAGAATTCATGCTAAAGCATTATTTCATAAATAATAAATAGTATTCGTCGGACTTTTACAATAATTCGTGACAGACATAATGACTCATTTTGTGAACTACATATTATTCGTTCACTGAGCGAAATTTTGAAATATAACCGTCAGACGTAACCTTTTACCATAAGAACAAATGGCTCAACAATTTTCATGGGTGTTTGATTACTTTGATTACTTCGCATATCAGTAATATTAAATGTTTATATTATCTCATACATCTTGTGCATAGGTGAACAAAAATTAAGAATTATTTAATAAAAATTCACATACTGATTTTAATTATGACAAATATGAGAAAGACAACTACAAGTTGTTTATTTTTTTCTCCCCTCACAGAAAATTGGAGTAAGAACTACATTCGACAACCTAGAAGCCGTAAAGCCCAGCAATGTTGTATTTCTTGCCGTTAAACCAGATGTCATGCGCACAGTTCTTTATGAAATCGCTCCAATTATCAGCGAACGTCATATCGTAGTATCGGTAGCAGCCGGTGTTAAAATCAGCTACGTTGAAGATGTAAGTTTGGAAATGTCTTTATAATTAATTATTAAAATATACATATATGGAATATCGCTTCTTAACCAATCAGAATTATGCTCTGTCACAGGGCGTTATCAAGGCATACTGTCCAGAGTTCGATAGTTATCCGAGGGTATTACTTAGACTGGGCCGGCCATTCATGGCAATTTTATTGGTTTATATAATAATTTCCTTTAAAACGAACAAAATCCCTGGCCCTGGCTAGTTGAATGATATTTCCACATAATACGTCACGTTTTGACATGCAACAATTAGCTGACTGTAGAAGCATCACCAATAGATGCACAATGACAATGTCAGTACCAAGTTGAGTTGTACTGAATGTGACCAAAACAACAGCTTCAAATTGTTTACAAATATAATGTCAACTTTTTACATGTAGATAATTTGATGTGACATAATAGCATCCCAGAAAACAAACGGTAGCACATAGAGTCAGGCCGCAGATGCGAAGAGGTAAAATGTATATGCCAGGAAATTCCGAATGGAATTGTAGTGAATGTCGTGGATCACTAATCCCATTAGTCTTTTCTGCATGGATACCTTACTAAATTGAACGCTTTTGTTTCTAATTACAGAAACTTCCAGTCGACACAAGAGTGATTCGTGTCATGTCAAACACTCCTTGTATGGTGGGTGAGGGCGCTACGGTATTTGCCAGGGGTACAGCAGCGAAGGACTCTGATTCTGTGCTTGTTCAGCAGTTTTTCTCTACCTTGGGATTCTGTGTTGAAAGCGAGGAATCAAGTCTTGATGCAGTAACTGGTGTCAGTGGAAGTGGTCCAGCATACGTAAGTATCGTCAAATAGAGTTGTAAATTTTCATTTTATACTTTTAAATTGTGTGTGTTATGTCCAAATAAAAACAAACGAAGTGTACATAACCTTGGTCACCAGATGGCGCTATTAACAGTGACAATACGGACTTTGCAGCACATGTGAACTATTTAGCTCCATGCAACGACTTTCAGCTTTTCCGATACAAATTGACTGTTACTTGACAGTTATATTTAGGCGAGATGGAATTAATTTATTGATAATTTATTTGCAGGCATTCTGTGCCATTGACGCAATGGCAGATGGAGGAGTGAAAATGGGGCTGCCCAGGGATCTGGCACTTAAACTAGCTGCACAGACAATGCTGGTATGTTGAATTCCCGAGATCTTAGGTGACACGCATCGAAAACTATTTTGGCTGGTGTGCAGACACCAACAAAGCACGACCAATTTACTATTTTTTTCAATTTTAGTAATTTACTAATTCAGTCGTATATACACTTGACGTCATCAAAGCCAAACTATGTGCAATATTAATCTTAATATGCATGTTCTCATTTTCTTACTAGGGAGCTGCAAAAATGACTTTAGAACCTGGCAGTCATCCAATGATTTTGAAAGATAATGTGGGTTCTCCGGGAGGCACTACAATGGCTGGAGTTCATAAACTAGAAGAACTTGGCTTTAGGAATTGCCTTATCTCTGCCGTTGAGTCCACTACGGTGAAATCCGTTGAACTATCTCAACAAATGTATGATATTTGTCCTAATTGCATTATGTGTGAAGTCGTTAGCCTCAGACATGCAGGAAGCTAATTTCAGAGTTTGTGTTGTTGTTTTATTCGAACACATATTTACATGCAAGCTAGCACCCCTCCGAGATGTTTAATATAGTATTTATTCACGTAATGCACAAGGTATCGCGTGTGGAACGGTCCAGTCAGGAAGTATTGTAAGGCTGTGTGGGATATGTAAATGCCTATCTTACTAATTGCAATGGTAATACAAGCATCATAAACTCTAGGGTACATACACATATAGATTTCAATGGTTCTACCACAGTCCCTCTATAGGGTTCTACCTATGTCTCGTGTTTATATACATGACCAGTTCATTATTATTGCACGGTACTTGTGTAGATTTAAATTCCTTTCATATTACTGTTTGTAAAAAAAGTTATGAAGTTATGTTTGATTGTATTCATTTTGTAGGTTGGATGAAGATAAAAACTACGACGAAGATGTCAAAACTGCCGTACTTAAAATTTGAAGATCGTCTGACCACTTATGTATTGACGTAACTCATCGGACTTGTCACACATTGACGCCACTCGCCTGACCTCTTACATCATGATGACATCACCTGATACTCTGTGACGTCACTCGTCTTATGCCGTGCACTTTACCTGATCTCTTACGCAACAATCACGAGGAATTCAACTCTGCACAGTCTATGATTTTACTTTAAAATTAGTGGTTGTTGTGTCTGTTGTTGTTGCGCTGCTTGTTTTTGTTGTTATTGTTGTTGTTGTTAATTTACAGTATACTAGAAGTATGCAAATATATATTGTTCGACTTTTAAAAGCCCAAATGCGAAAATTATGAAAACGATTATCTAATTACATACCGATATTTGTCTATATATGAAATTACCGTTTAGTACCGGTAATCTTCAGTTTATAGGTTAACAATTTGTAAACAACGTTCTTGTAATTCTCCTCATGTCAAAATGACTAAGTATTATATCTATGTTAAATATATGTACATTCTTTCAAAGGCGATGTGTAATTGTGATTATATCTTCCACCATTAGCATCACGTGTGTGACGTCAAAGTATGGAAATGCCTGTGCTCCTGAGAGTGTGGACATGGTGATTTCTTAGTCATTTCCCTATGTCGTACACGTATTTATTAAACAGTTGTCTTTAGTTGCAGTTGTTTCCATTGGAATTCTCTTGAATCTGCCCATTGGTAATGGAATTAATTTCCATTACTAGTTTTGTACCCAGTGACATGGATTAAGTTGATCTTCGAATACTTTTTACACATATAAAGCTTGAAATTACTTCCATTACAGCGTGTGGTCGGTCTAAATTATAACCAACTACTGCATCATGTGACATCTGTTATCGGAGCAACTCTCTCACTTCTAAGTTTAGAGACAGACTTTGATTTCTAGAAAAAAGTAATCTTTTTAGTCAGAGAGTCTGATATTTCAGTGTGAAAAAAATAACAGTATGTATTACGCGTAGTTTAATCTATTGTCTTCAGGTTATGGAAGGGTTTTCACGTCATAAGTAAGACAATGTATTATATACATAATATTTATTTAGGTCTACCATTGAGAAGGAGTACATTTCCATAAAATGCTGAATATTGGATATATTGAATAATTACCAAGAACTACCATTTTAATTATAGTCAATCATATCAACGATTTCAAAACAATTATTTATACATTCACTAACAAAACTAGAGCAGATAGGGATTGACTATCCCACTCAGTCTGTGTATCCACTACATGTGACAGTTAAAAAATAAAGTGTCGACGTACAGTTCACTGTATTATTTTCCAAACTGATCTGCCAAAGCGACCACACGTGCACTGTCACAGAACTCAAGAGACAGTGTATTGAACACCATCATTATAATACGTATTGGTTTCCAGGCTAAGTTATTATATTTGGTTGCTCCTTTAAATGCCCAATTGACACCGCACCGCTAACTAGTGCCTTATTGGAGCCAAACTTACGCAATGTTGTGTATGTTTATAAATAGTAAGATGTCGAAATAACACAATTTTGTCAACAAACATATTGATGTTGACTGTGTATACCGCGCTATGTATACTACAGTGCGTATTTTAGTCCCGGTTTTTGGTACATCAAACAGGAATCTGAAACATTGCAGCAATATGTTACCAAAATTCGTTTTATTATTCTCGATGGGGATAGCAAGGATTTAATTGTATTAACTATTTTCTCTTTGAATCACACGGTTTGTTGGCTCTTTCTTTAAATTGCAATTGGGGAATACTTGCTACAGTACGAAGGTAATTTCAATTGTTACAGTCAGTAGCTATGCTAATTTCTTTAATCATCCAAGTAATTGTTGTTTTCTTTGAGCTTGTATTGTGTGCCGTCTCTTCTTTAGTGAACGCCGAGAGGCGACCGAGACGTCGTTATATGACTGCTATTCAAATTTAGACTTAGTAGTCTGATGATGAAGATATCTGTTCAGAAATAACTCTGTCAGTCCCTATCACAATATGTGTATGCATTACTAGAACATTGTAATACAATTGGGTATTATCCATATCAATTTGCGTTCGATATTATTGATAATTATCTATATTAATATATTTGTTTTAGAAAGATTCATTTACTGTTTGTTATAATGACTGACACATTAACTATCTCCATACATAGGAAAGAAACATAGGGCTTTTAACTCCGTGGACAGGGGGGTCCGGGGGAACGGGTTGACAATATTTTGAAGAGACAGGGAGGGGGACCTCCGCGAAACTACTAGTTGTTTTGTAGTGTATCTGGTTACATATATGAGCGTAAGGTTTGATTGGCTCACATTGCTATATATGAACATTTGTGTGAACCATAAGTACTCAAATCGTACGTTAATCCATGGTCAATCGTACGTGAATCGAACCGTACGCTGTCTCTACACTCTACTCTAAAGTACTTTTAAAACAAACTCAAGTTTTAAGCATGGACAGTACGTTTTTCATGTATTTGTTATCATTACCTACCTTTCACTCATCTTGTTTTCAAATAGTTTCTCCAATTGTGAATTTATCTGTTTATTGTGCCCTGCATTTCATTCATATATTTTTTTTTGCAACAGTTTTTCTGTCCTTGCTCCTCTAAGAGTTTATAATGATCGACCCTAAACACGGGAAAAAAAGGAAGCCATGGATGGATGGACCACCGTGGAATCACGTATTTTATGAACGCTATGTGACCTATCTCTCAAATCACTGAAGAATATTTTAGTGGTCTGAGCCTAAGTATAGCAGCGAACTTATAAATGCCGCTATATAGCGTAATGAGCTATTTTTAGAAACTTTGGCTGTTCCATCCACTGTTACTCCCCCTCGATTTGTATTATCATTCATAATCAGTATAAGCATTTTTCAATCGCGAAACATATTAATAAAACCAAAACCATGAAGGCCAAACATTTATTTCAATGTAGCGTGCTATAATATCATCAAACCTTATACTTAAAATTTAAAATATTGAACGGATTTTCGTCTCTATACTGGTGTATTGGAGGTAACGGTGACATAGTTTATTTACTATGTTTCGATAAGTGGGAAGTTTGAGGTCGCGCTTCCGTGAAGAAGGATTTTACACGGCTTGTCCTGTTCTGACCGCGTCGTTTTATCGCCAAGATCCACGCGACCATGTGAATAATGTGATTAACATCCAGGTTATAACGATATTGTGGAATCAGCTAATTTGACAGGTATGCAAACTTTGTAATTCACTGATGGTCGAATGCCTTCGTCCGAACGGCGTGATCGAAATGGAGGCGCTCTGCATGCCACTGACCTCAGTCCGGTGGCTATATTTACTTGTTTACGCTTTCGGAAGTCGACAAAACTTGTCACTGTCACAGTATTACTTGTAACCAGAAAATGCCACTTTTAAATAGACTTCCGCGGGAGTGTTTTGCGTTTTTCCCCTCCCAAATGAGTGGGTGAACTGAGTGAAAGCCGGGTCGTGTGTGTGTATTAATTGGAAATCCAAGATGGCGGCCCCCACAAGACCGTCAATTTGTTCATGGTATGGCTGGGACGTCTCCTATTTTTAACATTGAATTGGTGAAACAACTGCCGCATGAGCTTCTTTGTTTTTATGTAGAGCCAGTGATTATTTTACCAGTTGAAGGGAATGCTGTCAATAACAGCGTTTACGTCACTGTGTGGAAAACTTTTGACACAGTAGTGACAATAGTGTCACATTATTAAAGGGCGGCAGTCGTCGTGCCGCGTCCTGTTCGATATGGGAATCATAGCGGCGTATACGACGCGTGTAAAATACATTGTTTATTTACATGAAATTCGAACACACGCAGCGCGACGACCACCGCGTTTTAAGATAGTGTGTCATTATTGAATGGCCATGTATGAAAACAAATTAAAAAAACAACCTTTAAATTAGCTAACCAATGAACGTTTTTGAGAGTTTTCAAATAATTAATTATTATGGAATTTAATGTTAATGTCACCACTATATCCCAGTTTTAAAATTTTGGAGATGGATTGTATTATCATATGAAAATACCTCAGTAACCTCAGCATCAAATTAAAAAAAAAAAAAACCTTTAAAGTTGGTAACCAATAAACTTTTTGGAAACTCTTCAAATATTTATTATAAATGTATTATTTTTTCTTTTGACATCATTTGACAGATCATATTCTAGTACTGTAAAACCATTTATTTTTACTGACATTTAATTTCACTATTTTGTTGTTTTGTGCATATTCACTGTGTTTTGATTTCACAAATTTGTCTTAGGAATCAATAAGTTTTATTGTTATTTTACATATAATTTAGCAAAATTTACTTATCAGCGAAGATAATGAAATTAAAACCCAGTGAATAATTAATGCATTTACAGTATTGGTTGACTTTCCCTTTTGATCAATATAAAGGCCCAATTCTATTTACAGATTGAACAAAAACTGCAAAATATTGAGCAAATAGAATTTTAGGAACAGTTGAAATTTTCATTGGAAAACAAGACAATTGTAATCCAAAGTACAGGGAAAAGAGATTATTTCCTTTGGCTCAGATTTATAAAAACCAGTACCGGTATCATGAGTGAATGTGATTCCTGCATGATAACTGTATGCAGGGAGAAATACAGGAAGTGTGAAAATTAAAGATTAAATGAAGGTCTAAAAATAACACGCTTATTTGATCACAGAATAATGTTGAATATCTCAGTTTCATTTCACTCTTTGGCTTTGTGTAATCTCTCTACCAGGACAGGTTAGTGTGAGCATAGAGGTAGTATGAGGGAGAACTATGTGTATGTTATGTATATTTCAGTGTCATCTATATCATAAGGTTGCCATCTGTGTTATTCCACAATTTATTATTGAAACTTTAGCACAAAATATATTTTACTTGATAGTTTCTTTTGTTGACTGATGATGCCATTGGAATTGTTATAAATGTATTGTCTAGTCGCCATAACCTGCATTCCAGGAAGTAAGTCAGTCAGCCACTCAGCCAGTAATTTATTTAATTTGTTGGTGGATGACTACTTTGGCTTTTATAAATTGACAGATGTATATTGCATACTTCATGTTTGATGGGATAACATAAAAGTCTGTACTCAAAAGTGAATGGTTGCGATGCAGTAATTGAGTGTTTTTTTTTTATTTATTAACATTGTATGTGTCTGTGAGTTAAGGTGCATTGATAGTGTGGCTAAATGGAGGTCTAAGTTCAACATTCTTTGTGGATAAGAATTTATAAGCTGATAATACAAATTAAACTTTGTACTTTGTTTTGGTGGATGTGATGAAATTTTATTTCATTTTTGCTGAATTCCTAAAGTCAGGTAATTCAATGTGCAATAACATATGTTGGTGATTTGGGCTGCCTAACAACAAAACCTAATCTAGTCATCTGAAGATTCTTATACCAGCAGCAGGTGGTAAAATGTGTGTCAGCTCACCAGACCCGGACTTCTTCAGCACATCCTGCACTTATAGAGTCAAGTGTCATTATTGTTTTTCTAACTCTCAGTAAAGTTTCATTGTAGACTTAGGTGGTATTAGTTTTCAGACCTTGACCTTATAACAGTAAGTTGGTGTAAATTGTTATATTTACATGTATGCTAGTTTATGATAGTATCTTCTTAGGGGGGTGGTGTTGGTGGTGGTGAGCAAAATATCAGTGCACACAATTCTGAGAGCAAAATTATGCAATTCATCAAAATATTGCTCACCAGATTAATAATTCTTGTTGTAAATGGTGAGCCCACCACTTTAAAATAAATGGGTAGGAGAAGAGTCAGCTGCTAGTCATTGGTTATAAGTCAAATCAGTAAGTTCTTTAAAATGTGGCATGGAAATGCATACCGCTATGTTTGAAAAGACATACATTTGTAAGGGAAAAGACCTCCACCCTGATTTCAGATGGTCAACCCTTAATCTGTTTCAAGAGATTTTCTTTACCTTATGATTTGGTGGGTAAAATTATGCTGATTTGCAAAATTTAGCTCACCAAAAATTGCTCACCACTTTTCCAATCTCTAAATTTTGTGTTTACATTTGGTATTAATAGACAATGGTTAATACAAGGCAAGAAACTTGTACACTTTACATACCAATATTTCTTAGTTGCACATTCATTAAATCAACATGCATAATTTTATCTGTTGCCAATGAGAAATTAAGTCCATTTGGTGCAACATTAACAAAGACAAAAATGTTGGACCAAAATTTGGAGAAAATTTTGTCATTGACCTGAATAATTTTTACACATTTTACCAGATATTTTGTTAATGAATTGGCTCATAGCCAATTGACTTTTGGACAGGGCTCTCCTAATATCAATTATGTGAAATTTTGTGTTTTTAGTTGTAGACTGTTGGTGTTCTCATTTTATTTGTGCTTATTATATCAACAATGGCCCACATAAATATTAATGATGTGGTTATTACCATATAGTTAAATTATTTCTTTCAACAAGTCTTATTCCATGATTAACTCTCTGGGTTAACTTTGTGTCACTGTAAGCTAAATCAGTATTTTAGGTGCGTTATAGATCTGTGGATTGTAAATTATTTACTGATGAAGAATAAAGTTTTTTGCAATGCACAAATGTTCTGACACCTACAAAAATATATGTACCGGTACCTCTGCATGGAGTTATTTCAAACATTTCCTAACAATATGAACCCTGGTATAATAAAACAAATGCACTTTTCATAAATTTGTTCACATTATTTTTTTTAAAGAAAGGCTTTTAAATTTTAAAGTTTGAGAAGATGATCATTGTGTCCATCATTATTGTGGGTTGTGACTGTATTCATATTAGAGTAAGAAATGGAATGTTGAATGGTGAACCAGTAAAGGTCAAATAATTTTTTGTTGTTCTGCTTAGAGCAAATTAACCATTGTCATGCGTGTTGTGTAATATACAACCATCAAAGTCCAAATATTCTGCTCTTTCCAAATTAATAAGTTTTTTTTGTCAGGCAAGTACTTCAGCGCTAAAGAGCTGCTTGCATGTTGTCTGTGATATATGGGTTGAAGTTAGAGGGCGCTATTTTAACTCGGGGTCCTTGTTTACAAGTGTCTCATCTCGGTGGTAAACATGGAACTCTGTGTAAAGACCAGCCCATTGATTTGAGCTAAGCTAATCTGACTAAGACCAGGTTAATCGGTTCACACATGGTTTTAAACATTGGGTTAAACTAATCTCCAGGTAGAACTCCATGTTTTGCTACATGTGTGAACACCAACTAATAAAATATTGTGTTTTTGTTTACAGATATTTGGTGCTATGAGTCAAACTGAAAGAAGACCTGTATCTCTTGAAATTCCAGGAATAAAATAGACTATGGCTTCAGACAATGCACCAATGTATGTACGCGCACTGTTCCCGTTTTCTGGAACTAACGAGGATGAGCTTTTGTTCATGAAAGGTGATGTTATACAGATCACGCAAGTAGTGGAAGGAGGATGGTGGGAAGGAACACTGAATGGAAAAACAGGATGGTTCCCTAGTAATTATGTCAAGGAAATCAAATTAGGTGAGTTTGTGATTTTTTTTAATTTGGGTGTGGCTATGACCTTTAAACTTCTGTTGGTAAGTTATAAATGTAATGAATGTCATGAATTTGATCATAGACCCTCCAGTAGAGGAGGGTCTATGATTTGATTAAAAAACTAAAATAGTTTTGTTGTTGTGATATTTGCTATAGTGCAAACCATAAGCAGAACAGAATTCTTACATTCTTTGTTGCTATGGGTGTCTATGGTATTTATGCTGTACATAGATAAACAATTCATGTATGTGATTACTCTGACCATGATGTTTGCTTTAACAGTCACTTCAGAGCTGAAAATAGAAATAAATTGATTCAGTACTATTTATTAATTTTTTTTGGTATTTCATATACTCCTATACAAACACCAGCTGCAAAAACAATGCATTTCTTATCTTAAAATGTAAAAATAAAATTTTTTATGGCATTTTGGGATACATTAACAGCAATTCTTTCAAGTCGGTAAGTTTTTTTTTGTTCAAAAACTGTATGATCACAAATATTCAACA